TTTTTTTTTTTTGGTGTATAAGTCTTAAGTCTTGGGTTCCCCCCCCCCCCTTTTTTTCCCTTCAACAGAATTTTTTCCCGGTGGTTTTTTTTTGGGGGGGGGGATGTTCGGTATTTTTGTTTCAACCATCTGGCAACCCTACCAGAAATGTGAAGTATTTTGCCAGGCTTCACTTCTCACAACAAGCCTTCTTCCCTCTGCCCTTAGCTGGAGAGAGCGCCCAGGAGGAAAACCGCTTCTCTTTGGCAGTGCCGGGGTGGGAGGGGAATCTCTCATTGGGCCAGCTCCTGTTGGCGCCAGAGACAAGCTTTCGAGCTCTTCTGCACTGAAGCAGGGACTGTGAAGCTGGAAAACTTGTCTCTCCCCCAGTAAAGCAGTTCCAATGAAAGCTGTCGCCTCCCCCACCCTGCCTGCCACAGACACAGCCAGCTCTCTGAGCAAGGAAAAGGGGGTCTCACATCCCAGCGGGGTGCGCGGGGTCAGCTGGTCCCTCTCTCTGGACTGGTCTGTTCAGGGCACTTCTCAGGGCCAGGCAACCGCTGCGGGGTGGGTGGAATGGACCAGCCCCATAATCAGGCCTAACAGCCAGCACACCCATTGGCTCATTGACATCCGGCTTCCCGGGATCGGCCCTAGGATGCTACCGACGAGCATCTTCTGCCCACTCGTCGTGGGCCTGGTCCCCTCCCAGGGAGAGCGGACGAACCTCCTGCCGTTCAGACAGGCTGATGTGCTGAGCTGGGGGGAGCCGCGTTGCTTTTCCTTGCCAGTCTCCCAGCTGCCTGGTGGGGCACAAAGCTCCCAGGTCCCCCGGGCCAATGGGCCCACAATGGCGACGGAGCTGGGGGGCCAGGAGACAGTACCCAGCCCCCTGGCGGCTAAGGCTCCGTGAGGCTGCCGGCAGCAAAGTCGGATTACGGGGGGGACCGTCGCCCAGGAACCGGTTTGAGCCCCCGGGCGGCTGCTCTCTGGTTTCTGACAGTCATGTCCCGTTCCCAGCGCCGAACCCGCGTGATACCGCGGAACGCCAACCCCGAGTGGAACCAGGTGCTGTTCTTTCCCGTCCAGGTGAGATGGGCGAGGGGCAGGAAGGGATATTGGCAGGGCCCCTTTCCCCAGGGGGGGACCGTCGCCCAGGAACCGGTTTGAGCCCCCGGGCGGCTGCTCTCTGGTTTCTGACAGTCATGTCCCGTTCCCAGCGCCGAACCCGCGTGATACCGCGGAACGCCAACCCCGAGTGGAACCAGGTGCTGTTCTTTCCCGTCCAGGTGAGATGGGCGAGGGGCAGGAAGGGATATTGGCAGGGCCCCTTTCCACATCGGCGTTCCCGAGAGGGGCCGGAGCTCCTGCCACGGAGCCCTGAGAGCCTCACGGTGGCCTCTGCAGCTCAGGCTCCGGAGCATCCCTGGGGCAGAAGTGACGCCGAGCGTGCGATGCCCTGTCCTTTCCCCCGGGCAGGCGCCTGCCTGGCTCTCTCCCCGGGGAACCCTGCAGCAGTGGAAGGGGCTGGAAGCCCTCCCTCTCCCCCCTTCAGCTCCCCTGTCCCCTGGCCGCCCCCAGCTGGCCCTGCTCCAAAGCCCCCGTGCACACGGCAGCTCACCCAAAGCAGGGGGCTCAGGGGAAGGGGGACCCGGGCTCTGCCAGGGCTCCCAGGGCCTGGCCCCGGGGCACTCGCCCTCCTAACCCCCTTCCCGTTGCAGCTGCCCTCGGTGTGCGACAGGATCAAGCTAACGGTTCTGAGCGGGTAAGACACGCTGGGGCCCCCCTGCAGCTGGGGCCAGGACTCCCCGGGGACGGGGGCTGCTGAAGGGGGTGGAATGAGCTGTGGTTGGCCCGCAGCCTGGCGGGGCACTGGCGGGCAGCAGGGGGGAGCCTGCGAGGGGTTCGGAGGTGCTCAGACCGTTGCTCCATGTTGCCGGAGAAGGCCGGTCAGGGACGTGGGCTTGGCACAGCCTGGCTGGCCCTTGGGAGGTTTGTTCTGTCCCCGGCAGAGGGGTCCGTGCCTGCCGGGTCCCCGAGCTTCGAGGCCTGGGCTGGCAGAAGCCAGAGCTCCTGGGATGCACAGAGCTGGGGGCCTTTTGCTGAGCAGCACCCCCCTGCTGCCCTGAAAGCCCCTTTGCTCCCTCTGCACTGCCAGGGCCCGAGCAGGAAGGACGGACGTCCTGGGGACCACGGACATCAGCCTGTCCCAGGTGTCCTCCATGGGGGCTGAGATCGAAGGTAAGGGCTCGGGCCGCACCCTCAGGGCTGGGTTCCTCCGGGGGCCTCTCGCCCTCTCACCTCCCTCTCTGGGTTCCAGGGGATTTCTCTTCCTGCCCTGCTTTGGACCCAGCTTCCTCACCCTCTATGGGAGCCCGAGAGAGTTCGCCAGCCTCCATGACCCGGACGAGAAACTCAGCTCTGGGAGTGTAAGTGTTTCCCGCCCGCTGGCCGGATCCCACTGGATCCCAGGCAGAGCACATCCCGGGGTGGGGTCCCAGGCACCGGGGGGCCAGGAGGCCTCTGGCATGAATGGGAGGCGCTGGATGAATGGGACCAGGGAGGCTGAGGACCAGGGGGACCCCTCTCCCCAATCACTGACCCGGACGAGAAACTCAGCTCTGGGAGTGTAAGTGTTTCCCGCCCGCTGGCCGGATCCCACTGGATCCCAGGCAGAGCACATCCCGGGGTGGGGTCCCAGGCACCGGGGGGCCAGGAGGCCTCTGGCATGAATGGGAGGCGCTGGATGAATGGGACCAGGGAGGCTGAGGACCAGGGGGACCCCTCTCCCCAATCACTCAGTGAGCCCCACGCACAGGCAGGGCCACTCCACCCCCCTTTGCTCCAGGCGCCTGCACAGTGGGAGGGCCTGGCTGTTGTTTCCTGGGAGCGGAAGGA